ATATGAAATATAATAATAAAGGTACTCAAAAGCTTCAAGTCTCCAGGAAAAATACTTTTGAATTACAACATAATAACTAAAATCGTTTTTCTTCTTTTAAATATCTAATTTTTTTTAAATATGTACTTTAAATGTCTAAAAAAATTGTGTTTAACTATAGTTGTAGTATAAACTAGGAACTAATGAAGAACCTTGTGTTCATTTTTAAAAAAAACGTTTTATACATTATTACTCCAAAATAATTTGAAAATTTAATGTTTGTGATTTTGACCTCAAATTCTTATAAAAAAATTCGTGTCCGTGTATCTTTTGAATAGCTATAATAACAGCTTATTGGGCCTTGTGTGGCGACGTGGTTGGCCGCAGTTACTAGAGTCACTAATGCGTGTTTTCTTGTCAAGCATCATCCGATGTTCCTGGCTTGGATTGATGACCACCAAAGTTCTTGGTGATGAAGCCTTAACCAACATAAGAAACCATACCAACCATATCTCCCCCCTCCATACACACACTCAATGGGCAATGTTTCCGAAGGTGAAAAAATACGACTGCTTATGAGGAACCTTGTTTTACATTTTCAAGCTTTTTGACTAAGCAAACATTTTTTTATCAATATTTGTAAAATTAAAAAAAATGTGTGAAATGCTTAAACGACAATCAAAAAAGGAAAAATCTTTTGACAAAAACTGGCTTAAAAATGTCCATTATTTTCCCTATTTTTAGTGAATAATTTTTGTGTTTTTAGTGTATTACATTCTCAGCAGTAGTTGCACTTAGCACTGAGAATGTAATACAGTGTAATAACACTTAACTCTTTAAGTTATTACTTAAATTTTAAATGGTTATAATGAAACTAATAAATCAAATTATTAAAACATAAATATATATAGCTAGCTGTTCTTGACGAAATCAGTAATACTTATATGAAACCTTTGTATAAAAAGTTTTAGCTTTTTAAAATATATGCTTTTATTAAAAAAAGTGAAAATTTAAAATTAAGACAATAGGTACAAAATATTAAATTTTAATGTTTTTCAACAATTTTGTTTTGTAATTATTTCAAATTATGTTTACTATTTCGAAAAAACGTTTAAGCTATTCGAGAAAATTAGTATTTCTGTTAATAGAATCACCATGTTTATATCTTATTTAGTTATATCACTTATAAGTATACTCGCTGTAATGGTAATAATATATATTACGGTATTGATAATTCCTGTCCTTACTTATCCCCCTCCACAATTTTCCTCACAGTAATGAACCAATGTAAAACAATTTACTCTCTACCCTTGCAGTGCCACTCAAACGCCATTCATATAAACTTTGAATACTTATGATTAGGTAAGTCAAAAAAAAATTATTTTTATACATAGGCTACGGCTGATTCTTACAATGTCCGGTTAAGAGTCCGTCAACTGTAACTGGACATTGTAAGAACGGCTCTTAGAAAATATCCTGTTTCATATTATTGGTACCAATATCATATTATACTATAGGCCAGTTTTTGGGCTATACTGCATTTGAGGATAAAATATATAAATCCTCTTTCTTATTTTCTAAAAATGTATAGTTTATTAAAACGATACTTAAAAATATAAACGGCTGAGCTTTTTGTAGAGTTTGGGGGGGGGGGGGGGGGTTACTGATTACTATAAAAAAACGACTCAACACATTTGCAGGGCGTAGTGTTTTTTATTATGATATATATTTATGTTTTTTTGGTCTTTGCGCGCATGTGGTTCATTTACTCAAAATGGAAAACATTAAAAAAAAAACTGTGTTAATTATAACCCACATATTTTTCTCTTTGATACCATGCTGTTTTTATTGTAAAAAAATAAATATTGTACCCAATTTCTCCGAAGAAAAATAGTGAGTGTAGTTTTCATACAGGCCATAATATTTTCGAGATTTTTTGTCACCCTGAAAATGTTAGTAAAATAAATTGCTCAAAATCACAAAATTGTTGTAAATCTGTCGTCAATGCACCATCTAAAATTTTTCGAAAACTACTAGAATTAAACTTTATAAATTGTTGATTTCTGTGATTCTATTATGATGGTCAACACTTTAAAAACTATTTCGATCAATATATCACTACTGTAGTATATAAACTAGTATTAATGAACGAAGAACTATACCATGCGTCCATATTATTATACTATTATTTGTTTCCTTTCTCATTTATTTTTGTGATTCTATTATGATAGTCAATATTTTAAAAATTATTTAGGAATATCAATTAATTAATTAATTAATTTTATAATAATGTAGTGTTAATGAAAAACGAAGGACTATACAATATTATTAAATAATGTAAGTACAATCCTGAGTATTACTAAATGTAAACAGAATGTATCTATATGTCGCATCCACATAGTGAATCTACTCATTTCGTGAACTGGATATCCAGATAGCGAAATTCGTCCAGATAGTGAATTTTGACGAAAATACATTATATGGACATCCATTTCATGAAATGGACAATACCTATATCGTGTACTTTGTGTAATTATTATTTTATTATATAATGGTTCATAAACTATCATTATATACATTTATACGTATATTATATTTAATTTTTCGCGATTGATTAATATATAGGTAATTTTCTATATTGTTCTATACACAAAAATATAGCAATTATAGTCAATAAATTGTATCATATTACATTATATTTTTATTTTATTTTTCATAAACCATACGTATATTATATTTTATAAACAACAGTGTTACCTATGTCCTATATTAAGTGTTATAAAATATTCATGAAATTAACTATAATTATAACCTAACCTATAGATCCCCCAAACATAATTTGCGTGATCACGGAACAAAAAAAAAAGGATTACATAAATTTGGAACAAATTAACAAAATATGGTTTACTCAAAGGATGGTTCAGTAGTGAATGTTTGAAAAAATCAACAACTCAATTTCTCACTACTGATCAAGTTGATAAAAATGTTGATATTTAGGTGAGAGAAATGATTAAAAAAATTTCAGGAGGGCAAGGATTTTTTGTCTTGTTTGTGTAAGGCAAAAAATCTTTGCCAATCAATTAGGTGTACTTGTTTTAAAAATAATATGCAATGTAACAGTCGATGTCATAATCAATTGTTGTGTAAAAATAAATAATAATTAAAAAATGTATGTAAAGTTTAAGCCGTTTAAGGTATGTTTAAGTTAATCAATTAATTATTTTGTTAGGTAATAAAACAAGAGAGAAATATAGTTAGTTAAATATTATAATTATAGTTATAATTTCATGAATATTTTATAGCACTTAATATAGGTCATAGGTAACATTGTTGTTTATAAAATATAATATACGTATGGTTTATGAAAAATAAAATAAAAATATAATGTAATATGATATAATTTATTAACTATAATTGCTATATTTTTGTGTATAGAACAATATAGAAAATTACCTATATATTAATCAATCGTGAAAAATTAAATATAATGTGCGTATAAATGTGTAATGATAGTTTATGAACCATTATATAATAAAATAATAATTACACAAAGTACACGATATAGATATTGTCCATTTCATGAAATGGATGTCCGTTTCATGAAATGGATGTCCATATAATGTATTTTCGTCAAAATTCATTATCTGGACGAATTTCACTATCTGAATATCCAGTTCATGAAATGAGTGGATGATTCACTATGTGATTCATATAGTGATTCACTATGTGGATGCGACATATACACGGATTGCATAAAGAAATAATAATATTAATGATTGTACGCCAAATATATTAAGTTTCTATGTATCATATACTTATAATATAGCAAAAGAGGCTGGGTCTCATTTAAAAATAGAAGTTTGCGTCACCACAAGACACTTCTTAAATTACATAAAATTATAAGTACCTATTTGAAAATACGGTATTGCTGGTACCTATATTACATTTTAAATAAATAATTAAGTGAGTTAATTCCGGATATCCGGAAGTGGCTGAATCAGTCAAGGCTCAGAAGTATGACATTTCATATGGCTCAAGCACTGTCAGGGCATGGATGCTTCCAGCTTTACCTGTGGGAGAGGAGCGGGGCAGCTGACCTAACCACTGCGAGGAGCCGGAGGACTCAGTGGAACATACCCTGTTCCATTGTCCGTACTGGGCGGAGGGTAGGTATGAGATGGAACAGTGCATTGGTCTGCGACTACGGCCTGAGGATGTTCCTGATATTCTGGGGCTGGAGCAGGAGCTCTTTCCAGATGATATGTCGAGGAGAAGGCAGATTTATCAGCGGATAAGCAGAGGATGGCTTTTGCCAGGACGGTGGAGACGATACTCGGAAAAAAGGAGGCAGCAGAGTGCATCAGTTAGGCTGAAGGTGGACGGTAAATGGTAAATGATGGGTAAATGTGCTTATTTTGTGTACCGATGGACAGCTTTTTCAGGGTGGTTAGAGTCCCCCTAATTTGTATAATTAATTATAATTTAAGTGTATTTGGTGAATAAGACGTTCCCACCCATTTCCGGTTTTTGAATGGAAAAAGGTGAGTTTACTTAAAAATGTCCAGAATCAGAATTTGAAAAAAATCGTTTTAGTAAAGGGAAAATGGGAGTGAGCACGCCTGAATAATTATCCTGTATAAATACTACAATCTTATGTTATTTATATTTTATTTACATTATTTATTACAAAATTATCGCCTAATAATTAAGATGAGTACATAAATCTTAACTAACTTCAATATTTACTTCGCTAGTTCTCTAGATTATTACTGTAGATTGTAGATCTAGCCGATCTAGGTATCTATAATTGCTATTTTTTGTATTAAATTTTTTAAAAAAAAGGCTTTCAAGTTTTGAAGACTCAATTCTTGATACTTCACACACATTTTGGTACCATTAATTTTTGTCATAATATATTTTTATTTTAATTAAAAAATAAAATACAGTACCGATTTGGCAACGGGGCAACACTGTTGATTTGTTATCATATAATTGTATTGTTATCACAAGCGTTTGCTGCCCAATCGACTGCCGACTTGTCAATATACTTATCTTCGGTGTAAACAAAATTCAATTGATATATTATATTATACAAATTTTTTTTAATGTTCATCATTATAACTTATAACACCAATAAATTGAAGAAGTCGCTTTGAATTACTTTACTATTATGTGAATTTACCGTCGGGAGTCGGGAAATTGATTATCTCCGATCTTATTAGTGCGTAGTGTCCGTTGTAGATGTGGTAGGTGGGCTGTCGGTGTATACCAGGCTCACAAACTGCTTTATCGATGGAGGATCCGATAGATCCGACCGCATTTGGCGACATCAAGAGACCTGATCAAGTTGTGACTATGGCTGCCACTGATAATTTGAAGTTCGGTGTGCTTATCGGGCTAGTTGAGGTGGGCCAGGTCACCAACAAGGAGGTGGTGAACACCGTACTTCACCTGGTAAGCTAATTAGTCTCCTATTGTTTTATGGTACTAATGATAATTATTTGTCTTGTCTGGTCTCTACTTATTTCAATAAACATAATATATTGTTTTATATACTTGTATGAATTTTTTTTTTCAATTCCAAGTCTTAAGTATTAATTGATTTGACTATTAAAGGATCATTTTTACAAGCTCATCATTGAATGATGGACTGTAGCTAAAAAATATTATTATAATGGATTTTAATTTTTCCATCAAATGATCAGTGACAATTACAATCCCTAGCATTCAGTGAAACTACATTACATTAACATTTTTCATATAAGTGTTAATTTTAAATGTCTAGAAGTCTACCTACCTACACATATTATATTCTATCTATGATATATTTAGTGCTTATAAGTTATAACTGGTTTTAAATACAAAATGAAGTAAAGTATCCATTTAATTTCTTTTAATACATTTACCTAGTAAATTTATTTGTGAGTCATATTTGATTTATTGACAAAATTAACAAAGTATGTGTAGGCACTCCATTTATTTCTTCCTATTAAATTTATTTTGTAAATTAATTTATTGGTTAGTTTTGTAATAGGTAGTACAAACAACTACAGTAATTATTTTATTATTATATTGTACTATCATTTGTACCTACTATGAAAATACATTTTCAGTGTAACTAAGAGCGTTAATATTACATTGATATGATTTTTAACTGATATATCTTTATTTATGTTTGTTAGATGTATCACAATCATACATAGATTTGATTATATAGTTTATATTTTGTTGGTAAACATTACGATATATTTTACAAATACATTATGATATTATATCATTATTTTGTGTTGATTTTTTACAAGGCATAAATATCCATTATATATGTAATAGATTGGCTAGGTAGGTATTAAATGTACTAGGTCTTCATATCAATTTTATATCAACTTTGGTTTTTAAAAAAACATTTTTTTATAATTTATTTAACTACAAATGAAAAAAAATATATTGTAAAATCTCTTATAAGAAACAACTGAGAAATAAATGATTAAAATAATTCACATGATTTACATTTATGAGTCAATTTCAAGATTACTTTGTTAAACTTGATCAATCTTTGTTAGATTTAGTTAAATGTAAGAACTAAGAACTAAGATTTATGATACTAAAATACTTATAATATTCTTACGATTTTAATAGATTAAGAACCACCTTTTTTGTAAACTCGTTTCAATCATCTATTATGGTACAAGGTAAATTGTATGCATTCAGATGTACTTAAGGATCGGTATTATGTCGTAGTTATAATCTGGGGTGTAAAAAGTTAAATGATAGTATTTTTTTCATTTTTTTATAGGAAATATACAATTTGTAGTTCATTTTAAAAACATTTGACCATTTTGACACTTTCAACTGTAAAATAGTTAATTTTATTTAATAAATTAGTATTTATAATTTATATTTCTAAACACATACATTTGTATATATATTATATTGTGTTACAAATTTAACTATTTACATATATCTCTTTATTACTTTCTTAAGGAAAATATTGAATAATGCTAATTAATAGAAAAAAAATCTTAGTTTCATAAAGTTATTATCAGCATAAATACTTTTATAGTTTAATTGTGTATAAATACATAGCACCTATTAAAATGTTTTTGATTTTACATGTAAGTTAAGTATTACAACATTTTAATTTTTAAAGATTACGAGCATGTAAAATAGGTAGGAATTTCATAATTATTCAGACTGTATTAAACCTAGTACTCGACTAAGTTGACTCAGAATTAGTACTTAGTTATTTGTACTAAAATTGATTAAAAATTCTCTTTGATTGCCTAAAATAATTGTTTCATTAATTTACATTTGACTATGACATATTTGTAACTTGATGTAATTCATCATTGTTAAATAACAGTTATTGGTTAATACCTATTTTAGTGTTATATTATACCTTTTATTGTTATATAATATGCAGTATTGAAGTTGTATTATAGTTGTGATTATAATAATTAATAGGTATATTGTTTCAGTATTATTTGGTTTTATTTACGTATCTACTTTGTTCGATAGATGGCGTTATGTTAATTAAATATTGAACAAAATTATAATAATAATAATAACAATCATAATAATCGTAATAAAATATGTTATCTATGATATTCTGCAGAATACCCTGTAATATTGCAGCCTGTATATATATACTAGAGTTTTAAACGTAACTAGAATCAATTTTTTTGAATTTAAGAGGATGTTATACCCGCATGTGTTGTCTCCGTCTTACAAGAGCGTAACATATCAAATTTTACGTTCAGCAGATCACGTTTAGCTCAGTTAGCTTAGAAATTAAAGTAAAGTGATCTCTTATTAAAATTAAAGGTAAGACTATTACGGAGAGCTTCTCGTGGGCTCTTTATTATATTTTAATTTTAAAGAGAGTTATGAGTATTTTAAGTTGTACAAACAATTTAAAATTTTTAAATATTCATAACTCTCTTTAAAATTAAAATATAATAAAACAATTGGTTTTTTAATTCTTTTTAGTTCCACAACTGACTTTTGTATGTACATATATATTATGTATATATGCATTCGTATATAGGTGAGCTATTTGTGGGCCACAAAGATCTTTTTACAAAATTGGTGGTCCGCACAGCTTAAAAGGTTGGGAATCGCTGAAATAAGCTATACTAAGTCATATTTAGTCAAAACTACAATCAAAACTACAGAAAATATTATTATGGTACTTCTTAAGTGGGCAAGTATGAGAATATTAGACGAAGTATACTAGATAATCTAATTTAATTTATTTATTTTATTTCTGATGGCTGGTGGAAGTTAAATATCACTGTATAAGTTGTTTGTTATATGTTTATTAAAAAATATGATATTTTCCACGTCGTTCAGATGTTTAGTCCTAGATTTGTATCTAAGCCCACGTAATATTCAATGCAACATCACATGATAGTAACTTCAATCCGTCGGAAGTTATTGTTATAACTAGAGCTAGGATTTTGGTGACTTTTGCATTTTTTTCCTTTAAGTGCTATTTAAGTAATTATATATTTTTAAGTTCTAACCAAAAACCAAATTTGTTTCGTGGTATAACAATTTAGGATGTGTAATAAGTATTTTGCGTTTTTTGGGTTAGTTGCATTTAATTGAATTTTTAAGCCCATTTATACAAATATTACGTTAATTTTGTGTATTTAAACTAATTTTTGTTTATTTTAAGTTTTGTTATATATGTTGTATAGGTAATCTCAATTAGTACCTATACCTAGTACCTTCGAACTTATATCGACCACATACCATAATATTATCGCTTTATACTCGTTTTCGATAAAATTATTGTCACCTGTCAGCGAATTGAGAAAATTAAAACAATATTAATTAAATAATATGAACAATATTTCAAATCTGGTATATTTCTAGGCAAACTGAGTTGTCGGCGAAATGGGATTCGGTAAAGTGGGTATGAATCGAAAAAGTAATATAATTAATTAAACTCACAAGTCAACTCAAATTTGAATATTACATTTGCTTAATTTACTTTTTTAAACAAATTTTTACCTTTTTTGTGTAATATAAAAAATGAATAAATAATAACTAATAGGTAATTAATATTAATATTAATTTTAAAATTAATTTTTTTTTACTCATCTAAGTACATTTTTTGGTTCTTTTTTAAGTTCATTTTTGCATTTTTGTGTATTTTTTAAGTCATTAAAATTCTACCTTTAGTTGTAACCTACTGATTACATATTTTATTGATTACGAGTAAAAGGCAATTGATTCTAAAACGAAATACCGGCCGTTGGTTGTTACAAACGAGGTAACCACACTTTTGTTTTTGTCGGTATGCATTAAATATTATTAAATTATTTTTTGTTTATATGTCTACAATACAAAACACTTAAATAAATACTAAATAAATGTAGTTAGGTATTAACGGAATATTAAAAAATACTTTTTGTAATAAAATATTTAAATTCAAACTAGGTACTTAGTTGATTTGTTTAGGAAGATAAATTCACATTCATCTTTTGTCAGCTTGTTGATATTATTAGTTATTACTCGTTACAAATTTATGTTTAAACTTGTCTTATTGTTCTACTATTACATTTTTTTCTTGAAACTATCCTTACTTAATTATTAGTTAAGTATTAGTTAAGTACTAATTAACTAATTAACATTTTTTCTCAACCATTTCAATCTAAATAGTTTATTTTAATTTTTGATATAAAAAATTTATATTTTCTGTGACTTAGTGGCACATTTACTTCATTACGACAAAATTATGTTTTATAAAATTTATAATCTCTCCCTCTAAAATGTATAATCTCTCTTCTATAAATAAAAGGAGTATGTCATTTAAATTTAAATTCTAGATGAGAATTGGGTTTGGTACTTTGATTGAACAAGAGAACACTATAAATTACACGCTAATTTTTGGCAAAAGAATTATTAGAAATATTTGAATTTTTCCCTTTGAGGTGGCTACTGGAATTACACAATTTTATTTGCGAGTTTCTCCATAATAACCCAATGCTGAGTAAACGCGTTTAAATTGAAGCTAATTGCATACTAATTTTTGGAAAAAGAAAAATTACGTATATTTGAATATTTATTGATAAACGGTGGCGGGGGAGTGGACTTTTCACTTAATCCGCCTTATTTTACTTTCAGTTGAAAAGTATACTCGTTCCTTCAACTACATTATAGTCTTATACCAATACATTTTTACTAAAAATCTAATATATTTGGATTTTGAAGTACTTACCGCTCTGTATGAACTTTATAGTATTTAATCATTTTAATCATTTTAATCATTATTTTGACATGTGTTAGGTCTTTTCCGATTTTTAAAACACTCACTTTACTTGCTCAACTTGATGGTAAATGGATAATCCCCATTCCCCTAGACTATTTTCAGTGATAGTAGAACACTTTACTCCTATGCATTTTTGAGTGTGTAAAACTATTTGAATATAAATTTATTATTATTTTTG